TCCAGATTGGTAAACTCCGACATACATGACGCTTATACATATAAAAAAGTACAACATCCGACAGTAAAATAGAACCGGTATCTTTCGACCCGACTGGTTCCATACAGGCGATATCAATCAAACTGCCTGCACTTATCGAATCCAACGTGCTAGCGTGGTTTTCCATAATGGAAGCCCAATTTAACATCAATCACGTAATGTAAACAAAGCATATTGGCTTCTCTAACTACAGATATTCTCGGGAAACTGCAAGGAGTCGTGCTTCAACAAATTAATTACGAAATATTCAAGGAAGCCGCCATTACCTCGTATAAAATCCAAACCAGAAATGCTGGACAAATTGATGTCAGCCTCAGTCATCACAATGCGTCTGTCTATATATTTAAATGAACTGATCTCTCTAGCGAGTCGGATTGGTGTCAGTGATTATATAGTTGGCCACAAATTCATACAGGCACTAGTAGCATCGATCAAACCAGTTTTAGCAACTCAAGTCATCCTAGATAGATACAATTTGATTGGATAAAATGGCAGACGATCTTTATTTTAGACAATAAGAAAGTGTCCAACACCTACAAGTGTCCCTAATACAATGAATAAGCAAAACTAAAATTTCATCTCCGAAGAATATCGATTGCCCACCCAGTGTCCGATCATTCAATGAGGATCAAAAACCCAAAGATCTGTGGGACTCATTTATACTTTGCGTAGCGTGGGAAGTTCTGCAATTCGTGGTGCAAATGGCCGGATAAAAAGAATGTTAAGATACAGCTTAGTTTCCGATCTCCATCACTTGCCCCTAGTATGATGTCCGAAAGCTAAATCGGCGGGAAGCGTTAGCCTTCACACAACCGACGCTTCTTGAAATCACTACTCGACTAGGGGATACAAAAATTAATTTCGTTGTGGACACGGGAGTTGCTATATCGATCATACCAAGCAGGTGTATACGTGGTGTAGTGATGTGCCCTACGAATGTCTCCGTTGTATCAGCTAACAGCCAAAATTTGATGTTGCACATCCTCAGATGCGAATTCAACTGAATTTTTATGATTGCTGATACCACAAGACATCTCTTGGGTTACGATTCCTTGAATCATTTCGGTTTGACGATCGACTGCTCTAATAATAGACTAGTCGATAAATAACTAATAGACAGTCTAACGCAACACTAACACCAAAAATTATGAACTCACCGTAGACCAGGATAATCATACCGACACGACGGTAACCAAAATTATGGAAAAATACCCAAGCATATTAACATCACACCGCAATCCTAATGCAAAAAATAATAACAATAATAAATAAAACAAACGTTTTTCATAGACGCCTGCATTTTTTAAACCACAACAGCTATCAGCCCAGAAATTCGACATAGGGAAGGACGAATTTAGGAAACCGCAAAATGCAAGAATAATTTTTTCTGGTCGTTAACATCCAAAAAGGTAGGTTTCTAATTGTTGATTTGAGTTAAGCATATACATTTGCACGGAAATAAGACTATTTTGGAAAGATTTGAAGGGATATTAGCGCTCGAGTGTTACAATGAAAATTTACCCTTTGGTCTTTCCTCTTTATAATAACAAGCATTTACACGATAAAATTTTGTTTTCGTAAAGTTTGGTACATTTTTCCCTTTTTTAGCGATTTTCGTGGAGGTACGTATCCTATAGGTAACTCCACGAAATCGCTAAAAAATAGAGCATAGTCTGATGAAAAAAACGCCAAACTTTATGAAAACAAAAATATTTTTTTTATATTTATTAAAACCCCCATAACTAATTTTATGAAAAACTCTAGAAATTCGAGCGCATCAACCTTAGTGATTACAATAGTTAAAAGCACAAGGCTTTGAAGAATGCAAATCATGTTTTTTTGTTTTGTTTTTTTTTTTTTTTAATTGGTTGGATCCCACGTACCTGAAAATCAGCTCTGAATTGTAACATACAAAACTCAATAAAACAAAGATATTATTTAATTTCAAATGCTTTTATTTGTTTTTAGTTGTTTATATGAATATGGACAATATTTTCTGAAAGCAAAAATTTTTTACAATGAAAACTGAATTTTTAATACAATTATTTGTTATTTCTTTAATTATAATAGATTTTTACATTAAGTTTTTTTAAAAATATTATGACATTAGTTAAAAGCAACGTCAAACATTCAAAGTGTCCGTATGAGATTGTCATTGTCTCGCGCTTTGAAAATTGTATCATTTGGACCAATCAGAAGATCGGAAGTAATTAAAAGAAATGTAATTTGTGTTTATAATCGGGCGCTAATTATAAAGTACGGAAGACCAACCAGAATACAATTTAGTTTCATTATTTGAATTCAGCATTTTGCTGTTAAAGCCCTTTAAAACACGTATGGAGAAGTTAATTTGATTTTTCAATTTCAACTGAGAAGGGTACCTACAAGTAACAGTATCATCTTATGAAATTTAACTACTGCTAAACTTTAATTTATATGATCTTATTGTTATATTAATCTCAGTTATGACATTTTTCCATAAATGAAATATCAAAATTAATAATAAAATGAATGGAAATACAAATAACACAGTAAAATGTAATAAATGTACATAAAATTATAGTATGTACACTTCTGATAAAATTTCATAAGAAAGGTACCTATAAATTAATTAGATACCTTTTTCTTATGAAATTTAATCTCACTATTAACAGTCTTATTTTTTAATTTCTTTATATTTTCCATAAAGCATCGTAAACGTAAAAATGAAAGCTAAGTACAAAAAAAAAAAAATTAAAAAATTAGGGCGCTGAAAGTTTTCCTTAAAAGTAACGAGGTAAATAATTTGTTCACTTAAATAATTTCACTTCCTTCCATCCGTAGAAAGAATTATCCTCCCGTAAGTTATCTAAACGTCAATCGTCAAGCTACGCGAAAGGTTATGACCTGCTTTGTTTTATTTTCAAATTACATTTTTTCGGCGCAGAAGCTAAGTTAAGCTTGGTTCAAAATATTTTAAATAAACAGTATAATTTCTGTTTTCATTAAAATAAGTTTTGAAAAAATGATAATTGATTTTTAAAAGAATATCAAATCAGATTTTAATCTTTTTTATCAAATCGAAAAAAATGATTGAAAATGATTGCTTATCTGTCCTTTTTTTGACCAAAAAAAAAAAAAAATATTTTTAACGGAAATTTCAGACGTGCTAGGAACGATTAAATAAAAAATGTAAAAAAATACCCCCAAAATACTTTGATCTTTCCTCTTTAATAATATGAACATTAGACGATAAAATTTTGTTTTCGTCAAGTTCGGCGTTTTTTTTTTTTTCATCATGCTATGTTAGTGATTTACGACAGTTTTTTTTTTATATACACAAAACCCTTTCAGAAAAAAAAAAAAATAAAATAAAAAAATAAATAAATCTCCAGACATTTAACCAGACACTTAACCAGACACTTAACCAGACTGACTTCTTCCGCTTTAAATTTGACGTCCAACCTTACCGTGACTTCTGAATGTAAGTGAGATATTGATAAAAATTATTATTAACCCTTACGTTAATTTTTTTTTTTTTTTTTTTCAATTTGGGGAACTTTTTTCTCTAGGGTATACCACTTTTTTAGCGTTATATTGGACAGCGGGATGACTTTCGTTTCGTGTGTGTGTTTTTGTGGGCGTGTTTTTTTTTTATAATGTTAAAATTCAAAATTGCGTGGATATAATTGGCGCACAAAAGTTAATAGAAGCAGCGTAGTCGCTAAGTTGAGCAGAATTTCTACCGAGTGTTAAATGTATGTTTCAGAATTTGGTATTATTGACGATAGAATATCGTTCTGGCAAATTCTTCGACCATTCGTGTCGCATAAAGGGCGGTGAGTTGCCTTTTTAAGGCTGCTTTGTACATCTGAAACGTGGGCGGTGTGAAGCATAGATGATTGAAATGAAGGCCTGGATTTGTAGTCATCGTAATGAAATCGTGGATATTTTTACTGTTAGCTGACGTCGTGTTGAATAGAATTTCCACGTGTGTTGAGAAGAATCGTCGAAATTTGTCGAAGAGATTGAGAAGATTGAGAAGCTAAGCTTAATTCCCCAAAATATGCGTAATTCTGTGAGTCGAATTAATGTTCATATTATTATTAAAAAGGAAAGATCAAAGTATTTTTTGAGGTATTTTTTACATTTTTTATTTAATCGTTCCTAGCACGTCTGAAATTTTCGTTAAAAATAGTTTTTTTTTTTTGGTCAAAAAAAGGACAGATAAGCAATCATTTTCATGTAATTTGAAAATAAAACAAAGCAGGTCATAACCTTTCGCGTCTTTTGACAGGTGACGAAAGACAGATTTGTCGGAGTTACCTCCTCCTTCTGTCCTTGAACCAGCAGAGGAACAGGTCTTTTCGACCTTGACCTCTCATTCATACTCCTCACACACTGTTAACACGTCAGAGGGACTAGCAAATCCCCTTTTTTAGTTAGGCTATATTACAAACCTAGGTGTAATATACATCTAGTCATTTTTAGACCATAGTTATCTTTAGCTAACCTTGTAGTATTTTTTTTATAGAGACTTTTCGGTTAGCTTAGCCAATTTCTCTTGCTGGTCCCCCTCGACACAAGACAGTGATTTCTCCCAAGCTTTGAGGAGGCTGTCGGCGGCCGCAACGGTCGTCTACACAGGCACCTTGGCCTTCATTGGCCAAGGGCGCCGATCTACGGGCTGTAAGTTACGCTCCCATTTCTTTTTGTCTGCCAACTTGACGATAGTTGGGATCTTTCTTTCTCTCTCTTCCTTCCCAACACGTCAAGTTGGCATCCAGGCAATGACAAACAACGTTGGCAACACGAACTACAGCAACAAGTTGGCACTCCGGCAACGACTCAGCTTCAACCAACAAAGATCATCCTGGCATCACTCAACATCAACAACCACCAAGCGATCATCCTGGCAACAACCCACATCAGCTTCAACCCCCAACAACGATGATCCTAGCAACTGCCAACCTCGACCATCAATGCCTGCACTAAAATTTCTGCAGTATCCAGCACTCCTGCAGCATCCGGCTCACTCCTGCAGTATCCAGCACTCCTGCAGCATCCGGCTCACTCCTGCAGCATCCGGCTCACTCCTGCAGCATCCGGCTCACTCCTGCAGTATCCAGCACTCCTGCAGCATCCGGCTCACTCCTGCAGTATCCAGCACTCCTGCAGCATCCGGCTCACTCCTGCAGTATCCAGCACTCCTGCAGCATCCGGCTCACTCCTGCAGTATCCAGCACTCCTGCAGCTTCCAGCACCTCCACCGTTTCCGACCATCTTCATTTCCTTTTCCTTTTAGAATAAACCTCTACATATCATATATATCCTCGTTCTGTCGTCCATATTGTTTCACGGTCAGATTTAACGTCTTCAAAAATGTTAGCGGGCCTCTTGTGACCTCGTTCACCCCTTTCCGTGATACGGGGCCACTGGACCGCCCGCTACAGATTCATGACGTTTAGATAATTTACGGGAGGATAATTCTTTCTACGGATGGAAGGAAGTGAAATTATTTAGATTTAAGTGAACAAATTATTTACCTCGTTACTTTTTAAGGAAAACTTTCAGCGCTCTATTTTTTTATTTTATTTTATTTATTTTTTTGTACTTAGCTTTCATCTTTACGTTCACGATGCTTTATGGAAAATATAAAGAAATTAAAAAATAAGATGACTGTTGTTAGTGAGATTAAATTTCATAAGAAAGGTATCTAATTAATTTATGAGATCGATAAAAAAATAATACCATGAATAAAAAAAAGGCCTTAAATTTGATTAAAACAATTTTTTATCGTATAAATGTTAATGTTATTATCAAGAGGAATGATCAAAGTATTTTTTGAATATTTTTTAAAATTTTATTATTAATTTCTAGCACGTCCAAAATCGATCGATAATCTCCCGTTTTTTTAACTTTTGTTTACAAAAGTGAATGTTGCCGTTTAAAATTTATTTAAAAAATCAATTATGATTTTTTTAACTAATTTTAAAAAAATTAAAAATTATAAAGTTTATTTAGTATATTTTGTAAAAAGATTGCTTATTTTCTGTGATGAAAACATGTTTTTTCAAATGGGAGAAGGCCGGTCTGAACTGCGGTGTTGATTGACAAATGATATGTGCGGGGTTTTCATCACGCACTGACATATTACGTGCGGAAATTTATAGTACAGAAGGTCATAAGTGACGAAAGCAGAATTTTATTACCAAAATGTTTGTTAATATTAAGGGGAAAGAACAAAGTAATTTTTCATTATTTTTTAAAATTTTTCTGTCTTTATTAGAACGTTTTAACTTTGATTGAAAAATTTTGTTTCTTGTCATCACCGGAACTTTAGTAAATAACATGGCAAATTTTTTGTTCATTTTTTTCTTATGACACACATTAATTTTGAAAATCTTGCAAAAATAGAAATAATTGTCAGATTTTAATGAAACTTTCAGGAATGATGGAAATTATATTTTTTTAAAGTAATTTTATAAATGTAAAGGCCGTTAACAGAGCCGTACAAATCAAGTCACGTGATGTTTTTATTGGATCATGTTTCTTCTGGGCCTCCGTACATTTGATTTAAATTTTTTTTTTCGACACTAAAACATTATATACAGGTTTCGCCAGTACCGCTAATTTTAGAATATTTTAGAATATTTAACAACATTTAGTAGCTTTATGTAAAAATAATAAAATAATTTATTAAATAACATTTAATTCATTTAAAAATTCATTTTTCATCGAAAAAATTTTGTGCCTTCAGAAAATATTATCCATATTGATAAAAACAAAGAAAAGCAACTAAAAGCATTTAAAATTAAATAGTATCTTTGTTTTATTGGGTTTTGTATGTTACAATTCAGAGCTGATTTTAGGTTTACGTGGTCAGAGTTTAAAAAAAATAAAACATGATTTACTTTTCTCAAAGTCTTGTGTTTTTAACTATAATGACTTGCGTGATTCGACCATAAATTTTTTGAGTTTTAATTAATTTATTTATGGGGGTGTAATATATATATATATATATAATATATTTTTATAATGACTTTAAAAAAAATAACATTTATAATAATTTCCATCATTCCTAAATAGTTTCTGAAAGTTTCATTAAAATCTGACAATTATTTCTATTTTTGCAAGATTTTCAAAATTAATGTGTGTGATAAGAAAAAAAAATGAACAAAAAATTCGCTATGTTATTTTTACAGATACTTCCGGTGATGACGAGAAACAAGTTTTTCAATTGAAAGTTAGAATATTCTAATAAAGACGGAAATTTTTTAAAAAATAATTAAAAATTACTTTGTTCTTTACTCTTAATAGTAAAATAAACATTTTGGCGATAAAATTTTGTTTTCGTCAAGTTTGACGTCTTTTTCATCAGACTATGCGCTTTTTTAGCGATCTCATGGAGAATTATTAAAAGATTATAACATAAATTATTAATGTTATAATTTTTAATAATTATATTAAAAAGGTATATAATATGAAATATTCTTATTGTCAGAATAATACAGGCGCCTTCATGACATCGATAATTTTAGCGCGTTTTTTCCTGTATGACACACATTAATTTGGAAAATCTTGCAAAAATAAAAATAATTGTCGGATTTTAGTGAAACTTTCAGAAACTATTCACAAATGATGGAACTTATTATAAATATTTTTTTTTTAGTAAAGTCATGGCAGAATTTTTGTATTACCCCCTCTAACTAATTGTACGAAAACTCTATAATTTCAATTTTGAGGAGATTAATGATTATATTAGTTAAAAGCACAAGGCTTTGAGAAAACCAAATCATTTTTTTTTTTTTTTAGTTGGGCCCCCCTACCGGAAAACCGTCTCTGAAGTGTAACGTACAAAACTCAATAAAACAAAAATATTATTTAATTTCAAAAGCTTTTAATAACTTTATTTCATGAACATAGACAATATTGTCTGAAAGCAAAAAGATATTTCGATGAAAAATGAATTTTTAAAACCCATGAATAAAACTAACACATAAAACTAACCCATTTAATTGATGGGGAGATAACAAAATCAAAACTATTTGGGAATAGGTACCATTCAGAAAAGTCTGTGCGTTTTACGTAACTAGCAAAACAACCTATTGTCCAAATCAGCTATATAGGCACTCCAATTGTTAAACACAACCCCCTGAAGTATATAATGTTGAACAGATTCAAAACTTTTAAACCGAATTCCCTAAATTGTTACAAAGATTAGTCTTTATAAAGAACAAAAAAGAAAGAAAATGTAATACCAATCTGCACATACACACAGTGACAGGTACCACATCCTTTATTTCCCAAAGTAAGAGAGAAATTGAAAGAAATGGCTAGCCAAAAAGTTATATCTCTAGTAACAGTCCCATCAGATTGGTGATCAGACATAATAACTGTACTTAAATGTGATGGAAATATAATTATCTGTGTGAACCTAGCAACATTCAACAAAGCGGTAAAAATATAAGTTCATTCAATGAACTCTGTTAATAAAAACATAGCAAAGCGCCAAGACAGTAAAATTTTTTACAAACTTTTTGCATATTCAGGATTCTGTCAAATCCCTTTAGATGAGGAATCTCGATTACTGACAACATTCGACGCTACTGTTTTAAGAAGTAATATGACACATTGATGACATCCTTATACAGGGTCCTACTCAAGAAATCTATAACAGATCCAGATCCTTAGGTTTCTTAAATATAAAATGTGATTTCTCAAAATTCAAAATCAAGTTCTTGGGATAAATAATTTCTGAGAAAGAAATTGAAGCAGATCCAGACAAAACGAAAGCAATACAAGCGTTCCCAAAACTATTATCAGTCAAAGAAGTCCAAACATTTAATGAAATAGTGAATCTAATGACAAAATTCATTCCCAACTTAGCACTTAGATAAATGATCCCTTGCGCCAATTCCTGAAGAAAGAGAACCAATATCGATACTGAGAAGAGGTATGCAATCATTGAAAAGGAAGCATTCTCGGCCACTTGGGTATGTGACACCTTTTTTGCTACATCCTGGGGACTGTCTTCATCTTGAATGCAGACTACCGCTCCCTGGTAATCCTAAAGTCTAGCTCAGACCTATCCAAACTTCCATCCCGAATCATTCCCAAAGACTTAAGTTGTTAAATCTAAAAAAAAAAAAATTAAAAAAAAGAAAGAAAGATCATTAGACGGTTAAATTTAATTCACATTTAAAATAGGTCCAAGTTATTGGAACACTCTATACAACAAACGAAAACAAAAAAGAAATACATTGGAAATATGACTTATTAAAGTTTGTCACAATTATTATTATGCTATTATTTATAATTTTATTAATTCATAGTACTTTTCTCAAAAAGAGACGGGATAAAGAGAGAATTTAGATGATTTGCCAATCACAGGACATATCTAAGGCAAAAAGTGACAGAGGAAAACAGCGCGTAAACTATCTAATGAGCTTGTGTAAATGGTTGGCATAACAGTGTTTAGGAAAGGTAGAAAAAGACAAATTTTACTAAGGGCTGCAAAGGGCAGTTATCGCCCATCCATTAATCTTCAGGATAATGCAATACACGTTACTACTCATAATGCACCATTGACCAGCATATATACATAGTCGAACTAAAATACAACACACATGATCATAATATTTCGTTCAAGCATGAAAGACTCATAAGATAATATTTAAAATAATTGTTTGTTTTTTTCTAGATAATCAACAAATCTTAATTAAACTATATATTTAATTAAGAAAAACCTTTATTAAACGAATTACATATGGAGAGAGAAGGGAGATCACCGACTCCTGTGGGATCATGTTGAGATCATAGACAGGGAACACCATTGGAAAATTCGTAAACTTAAGGAATCAGCACATATGCTAGGCCACAAAAATCTCCTGAGTCGACCAAGCGTAGAAATAAATACAATATGGGAACCAGAGAAAAGCAATGATAACAAAGTTGCAATATGAACTCTGATAAAGACATGCAATGATAACAGCAAAATTGCAATATGAGCACTTGTAAAAAAATAATACTGAAAACATTAGGTTTATAATACTCAGAAGTTCATACCCAGATGTTCTCAAGGACACATGGCACAGTGGATAAAGGCGTTGGTTAGATCCAGTGACAGATCCAAAGAAGGTGAGTTCAATACTTGGTTAAGGCAGTGGAAAACTTTCAGAGAGAAAATTAGCAGGCGATAACCGATATCCATCAAATATGTTTACCCCATATCAGTTCGAAATTCCAACCACCTGAAGAAGTCCGGAGCG